CGCTAATAGAAATACGTCCTGTGAAGCCTGAACAGGGACTGGGCAGTATAAGCTAAGTCTGTTGTGGGTTAGCTTTAACAGGGACCAAACACAACTAGCAGATTCGAGACAAACGAGCAAAACATACGAGCGGGCCAATATGGGGGTGAATTTGCTACGGCAAAAAACGTACTTCTTCGTCGGAAGCAAAGAAGTCCACATCATCATCATCGTCGTCAGCCTCCTTGACTGCCGCCGGTGCAGCAGCAGCAGTGGGTTTTGCAGCTTCCGCCTTAATCTCCGTTGAGGCGGAGCTGGGGAGGTGGAGGGACTTCAGGCGATCGATGGTGGCCTCTAGTTCCTGGACACGAGCAACCAGACTGTTCACAACTGAAGAGGAAAATGGTATAAGCTCAGTGTTGAAATAGACCGAAACTAGGCTTAGCTGGAGCAACAGAATGCTGAATGTATACAATACGACACTAAAATTAGTGCCTAACTTTTGACTGAAAAAAAATACCTAGAACCAGGGCTCTAGAATGACATTTGTGGTAAATTTGGACTGAGTTGGTAAGAGAAGCGAAGAGGCTAGGTCCCGGAAGTAGTCACGACAGGCAGGTTATAGTTCTAGTAACTACAGCCTATAAAAACTGAGATACTTGGGCAGTTAAGTCCCCTTATTTTATAGTCTCTCTTGTTCCAAGGAATCGCGTCTGTTCCTTTGGATGAATTTAACAGACTTGGTATACAGAAACGCTTCTATTAGAAGAGTGCTGCTCATAGAAAATATGGACGAGAGGTTAAGTAGGGCTGTCCCGGTTACTGGAAAAATTGAAAGAGCACATACAACAGTGAAGAGTTTCATTATCTTTCTTGGTGGACAACTTGTTGCGCTGACCCAATTCTATCACATTAACTACTCTTCAGTTCCCGTGTTAATTTCGATACGTCAACCGTAAGGGGGATAATGTCTAACTCTAGAATACTTAGTCATTCTGGTTCTTCCATCGTATTTTGTCTATGGTGTATCATTCGCGTGACTTGCTGTTCTGATAACAACAGTTTCTTTTTTCATTTTACAACGCGCGAATGGGTCAACTTCTTGGGCCAGAACGATTTGATATTGATCCCAGTGTTTCAGGCACTTCCAAACAATGGAAACACCAGTTTTACATGTTTAAAAATTTAACGACAGTTGAAAATCTCTAGCCGAACAAATCGACATTTTTCCGAGGGTCAAGGAGCGCATTCGTAAATGCTCCTGTTACAGAGAAGTCGGACAAACCCTCGACCAGATCACACAAAGGACGTTGCCTTCGGTTAAAGACCGTGATCGGCAAACAAAATCCTAACGATGCCATCAGGGAAACATTCATCAATGGCCTCCCGCCAAAGCAGATTGGACGGCCTAACTGTTTTTTCATCAGGCAATGTTACTGGAATTGACAGAAAGGTAGTCTCTGTTTTACCAGAACTCTTCGACCATCCAATTCCATCCCGCAAGCTACAGGGGTGTGCGAAATCCCAC